CCCTATGGATGCCCCTGACCCCATCCATCCATCCATCCATCCATCCATCCATCCATCCATCTTGCCCCTCAGTTCCTATTTCAGATGGCTCTTCTCTCTATTTTTTTGGGGGGGGGGACAAATAGTACATGTGTATGTGAGTATGAGGGATTGGAACCCTAACTCTGTGTTTCCTGTTATGGATCTAAATGCCTGCAACATTTATTGGAAGAACAACAACAAAAAAAAGAAGTACAGTTGAAATTAATGGCCCTATTTGTACAAAGAATATTGCAGGCATAGGGATGGATCTGGATTGGGGAGCGCAAGGGGAGCAAGGGGTTTAAGCTCCCATCCCATACATTGTGGTCCAAACTGGATCAAGCTCACCATGCTGAGTTTTGGTCATTTCTCTGCATTTAAAGATAGAGTGATATGTCTTTATATGGACTGTGCCACAGTCATTTGGCCTTCACCAAGAGGATGCCTCCAAATCCTTTGCAGTGCCACAAAGTTGAAAACCACTAAGAGAAGGTAATTGAACTTATTAGTTGGGTCAGAAATAATGACTACAATAACAGTAGTAGCAGCTTACTGTGTCTGTCCTTTCGGTCCATTGTGCCATCCACTTTGCCATCGGGAAGTATCCTCAGGAAGTGACCTCCATTGCTGCAATAAAGAAGCTTGGGCTTCTTGTAATTTCCCATTGGCAGATCAAATTTTTCTGTCACAGCAGTAAATGTTGTGATTTCCCCTTCCGACATCTCTTTCCCTTCCTTGGACTCAGGCCTTCAGTCCTGGAAAAAAAATTTAGCAGCACTGCAGTGAAAAAAGCCAAAATGGTAATGATATCTTCCCTGTCATGGCATGTTCAAAGGAGGAGGAGACGTCTCCACAGAATCAAAGGCATCATCTTAGGTATTACCCACCTCACCAAATCATCATTCGGCACATAGAGCAAGGCAGCATGCTATATCTTTGGTTCCCTCAACCTATGAAAAGCCTTTCTGAACACACCTCCTGTATGCCATAGCCTTAAATCAATAAAACAGTGTTTAATAAATAAAAGTAAATAAGAAAAAAAGCAGGAAAAGAGCCATATGTTTATGAGGCACCAACTCAATCCCTATCTCTGTCTAGATAGAAAATAGACCACGAGCAAGACAAATTTTTCTGGATTACTTTCATTAT